GGCGTCGTCCCGCTGACGCTCGAACTTGCCGCCGACGCGCGAATACGGGCTTCGATCGCGCGTGTCGCTGCCTCATACCAGATCTCCCTCTCTGCGAAGAGAAATTTTTCTCGCTTGAGTAACCGCTACGGGAGCCAGCCTGACACCTATCTTAATTGAATCTATAGTCTCGAAGCGTTCCCGAGAAAATCGACCATTATTGTCGGCATTTGCCGTAAGTATTGTTCGGTTATCGTTCTTTGTTGTCGCGTGTACAGGGAGATGTTTGAGCGGCCGGCAGTGTAGGAGAACTCTTTTGTAACGGGATATAACGTTACGTGAAAGGTTTCGAAGTGAATTGTTGCGCTCAGCCATACGCCCTTTCCTTTTTACCGATGGCCAATAAACCTGGGCAACTATTCGACAACGATAATCGTTCAATGAACGCGAAACGACGTACGGTTTCATCTTCGTAAAACACACCAGCGACGAGACTAACATAGTTTCACCGATTTTCCTCAAATTGAAATATCAGAGTACACCAGAGCTATTTTGGGACTCGTTAATACGAAAATTCATATTCTCTCGCAAATATTTGAAGCACATTTCCCATACACGATCCTAACTACGTACGTTTTCCTCTTGCAACTACGTATTTAACAAAGCTACTCGATAACGCAAACTGAAATGTGGCTCGGTAATTATTATATTCCGAGGTGGATTTGCCAACACTCCAGAGGCATACCACCAGTCACGACGATGCTAATCTCTAAGTATCTCGTTCCTTGCCGGAAGGAAGCTCGGTTTCGTTGAAATTGTCATGTTGCAGATTGAGACCGCGTTTCCCTGGGACAACGACGGTTGCTGTTCGAATGTTGCCGAAGGGACCGGATATCTTAATTGAATCTGTTGGTAAAACGGGACGAGTCCAACTGTTTCCTGGGAAGTCATTTACTGCAGTTACTCTCGCAAAAAAGATCGTCGCACAGCGAAAACGAGAAGCGCACCGAGACCACGCAAACGATCTCGTGCGAGCTACAAATTTCGATACGAATAATTTACTTCGACTTTGAGATATTTTACTTTGAGTTTGAAAGAACAAAAATGTCGACGCTAATTAGAAAACAACTATTCTTGAGAACAAGTGAGAAAACTCGTTGAATTTGTAAAACTGTGTCTTCCTCCTCTCTCTCTCTCTCTCTCTCTCTCTTTCTCTCTGTCCTATCCCTTTTTAATTGAAAATTTCTTTCATTTATTACTAAGATCCATAAATATTTATGAGGATTATAAAACGGACATCTTGAATTTCCATCTAATCTACCGAATCTAGAGGACCAACAAAGATTGCTGCTTACTTGAAATGCCATTTCTAGATCCAGCTAAAAGACTTTCACGCGTTGCAAATGTGTGGCGCTTTCTAAGTATACCTCGAATAATACACAGACTGTGCCAAAAATAGCCGAACTTTTTGACAATAAGAAATCAGAGGAATCGTTCGGAGGAAAATGTTCTATTTTATACAAAACATATTGCACCTATTAATTAATGCGTCCAATAATTGTTACGAGTCTTCTTGTGGAATTTCTTTGAGAACACCTGGATATCTTGAATATCGCCGTAACGTCCGTTTTCGTTGTTATTTGAAGCATTTGCGGAGACAGAAAGTAATTGTATGATGTTAAATCTGGTGAACAGAACGGGTGGTGCAACATTTTGATTCACCATAATTGACGTCGCCACTGACTTTTTCTAGTCTCAAGAAAGTCGATTATTTTCGGGTGAGTCTGTATATCATTTTTTACATGCTAATATTATTTTTTATTTAAAATCGCTATATGCCTACTACGAAATATTTGGAACAGATATTTAAACGTTACAGATACCGTCAAATGAAATACTCCTGACGAAATCGTTAAAACGTCGTGTTTAGAGAAGTTCGAACTGGCAATACGAAGTTTGGTTGACAGAGCAAGTTTGGTAAATTTGTATCCACGACGATTTCATTCGGTGTCTGGTGGTTGCATTGCCGGAAGCGCGTTACGACGAACGACTGTTTCCTACAAACTGCACTAGTCGAAGATCCTGCCGTTACGGTTTGCCTAGAAACACATCGCCGACTAGTAGCCGCTAATGGGTAAGTTTAAACTGTGCCGTAGCTAGTAAACTGCCATATCGTGTCGCGATATTGGCCGAACCCGTATTTCCATAAAAGCAGGATCCGATACAGGTCATAGTGACGAAGTTAAATCCGTATCTCCCTTTGGAGACAGGTATCTACTGTAAAGCTGTGTCAAAGAAAGAACTAATTTCATGGAAATCCGCCTCAACGTTACCTATGTTAACGCTGTTTTAATGATTAGCGTAAATGGTTTCGTTTCGAAGCACGGTTTTATATTGAAATTTTACTTATCACGTGTGTACAATTATTAGATTGTCCCAAAGGTTTCCTCCGCTTTATAAGGAAATAATAGATGCACAATATTTTTTGTTTTACATTATTTTATCGAATTGTGCACGATTCACTCTATACTATTGGAAATAATATAAAACAAAAGATGTGCATTTATTATTTCGTTATAAAACGAAAGAAACTTTTGGAACGATCTAGTGATTTAACGCAACGATCTCTATTGGCCCTTTATTATATAACCCATTTTCCTTTTTTGTAAAACTTTGCAGTAATATCGCAAGGCAAATACCACAATGAATGAGGAACGAAAATATTATTTGACCAGTCCAGTGGCATGTATATACAGGGTGGTTGGTAACTGGTGGTACAAGCGGAAAGGGGGTGATTCTACGCAAAAAAAGAAGTCGAAAATATAGAATAAAAATTTTTTTTAACTTTTTTTTAATTTTTCCATCGAAACAACGATCTACAGTGAGATCCGTTATAACGAGACGTGATAAAGTGCACGCGTACCGAGCGAGAATTCAAAGTCGATTTTCTCGAAAACAAAGCCTCAAAACGAAAAATTTTTATTCTATATTTTCGACTTCTTTTTTTGCGTAGAATCACCCCCTTTCCGCTTGTACCACCAGTTACCAACCACCCTGTATATACATGCCACTGGACTGGTCAAATAATATTTTCGTTCCTCATTCATTGTGGTATTTGCCTTGCGATATTACTGCAAAGTTTTACAAAAAAGGAAAATGGGTTATATAATAAAGGGCCAATAGAGATCGTTGCGTTAAATCACTAGATCGTTCCAAAAGTTTCTTTCGTTTTATAACGAAATAATAAATGCACATCTTTTGTTTTATATTATTTCCAATAGTATAGAGTGAATCGTGCACAATTCGATAAAATAATGTAAAACAAAAAATATTGTGCATCTATTATTTCCTTATAAAGCGGAGGAAACCTTTGGGACAATCTAATAATTGTACACACGTGATAAGTAAAATTTCAATATAAAACCGTGCTTCGAAACGAAACCATTTACGCTAATCATTAAAACAGCGTTAACATAGGTAACGTTGAGGCGGATTTCCATGAAATTAGTTCTTTCTTTGACACAGCTTTACAGTAGATACCTGTCTCCAAAGGGAGATACGGATTTAACTTCGATTATTATATTGGATAAGAAATGTAAAACAAAAAGAGTGGGGGTAGAACCATGCAATTTTTCTTTCAACCAAAAGGGCTGCAAAATATTTCGTACAAAATCACAGTAACGCAAAATCTAAAGGTACCTGTACTATCAGTATAAATTATAACATTGTCAAATACATATCAGTTGAGGAGAAAATTTTTGATAAACACATTCGTGCGGGGATGATTAATTTAAATTTAATATAACGTCGTATTAAAACGAATGAAATTTCAGGTAACGAAGTTTAATTTCTATTTTAGGACACGAGGCGCAAATAGAATCTCGGGCATCGTTGGAGATATGAATTTTGTAAATCTGCGGATCCGCGTACAGTTGAAACGGCAAAAGCGGTTTTACCGGTGTACTATGCCAACTCGTTTCGATTAATCCGTCGAAAAACGAGGTAACCAAATTTATGTTTCGTAAATATCATTGCAATTTTAAATATTAACGCTTAGCCACCGATTCTAATCGTCGCTTTCGAGCTCTTTTTTCACGGTTACGCGTGGTTCCCTACCCTTTTATTGCAATATAATTGCCAACGAATCTCATCCATGTTCTCAACTCGAAATACCTTTAATCATTGCAATTAATTTTCTTGTGTATCGTTGTCAAACAATATTCGATAGCTCGTTAAATTTGTAATCGGCATTGTAGTAGAAACACAATGTCTACGCAGCAGTTCAAATTGATTGAACGTTCGTGAATTACACAGATACAGTGGCATATTCACGTGTTGGCGAGGAAAAAATTGCAAACTCTATCGGTGAAATATCAAATGTTGGCGAGATCGATTCGATGAAAGCGGAGACCTCAACGCAATTCGTGTCAAATATTTTAGCTGTCGATTCGCACTTCCAGCTATTCTTCTCGAACGTTAAACCCAAGCATCGCGGAGGTTTGATGCTTTCAGAGCAGAGGCAGAGATTTATGATAGTCAGGAATCAATGAAACGCACGAGTCGGACCGAAATTTATTTTCCTACGAGTTCCTGATAAATATTTGCGAGCGCGCAGATTCATAGCAGTACGGTTTGTTTGAATCTATTCAGAATGCACGAATCGTACCCAGACATCGACTAGATATTCATAAATAAATACACCTGTCAGTGATCGACGAAACTGGCGCTGTCACATAGGTGTAGGCGCACGTGCGTTTGCTAGTTTGCAGCTACATCGGTATAATCGAAATTTAATTACCAAGACTTCGCGTGCGCGGTCAGGTTAGTGATCTGCAGCTGTAGTTTCCCGGATGATACGCAACACTCGAGTGTTATAACGTAGATCGTTTCAGGCAATTTCGAAGCTTTCATGTTTCTAATTATAACAAAGCATGGTTTTGATAACATGAAATTGTTTAAGCCGCAGAAAACAGGAATCGTTGATCGCCTATGAAACGATAAGAAAACCATAGAAACGAAGAGACGAATGCAGTTGTGAGTTTGTAAACTTTCATAGATGGAAGTTTCGAGATAGCGTGTCTGGAAGAAAAATCGTATGGTAAGATCTAGGAA